GAGAAGTTTGGCCATCCGGGAGGGTCTCAGAGTAGAGCCGCTGCTGCTCCACATTGAAAGGAGCTAGCTGAGGTGGTTCGGGCATCTGACAAGGATGCCTCCTGGGCGCTCCTGGGTGAGGTGTTCCAGCATGTCCCACCGGAGGAGGCCCCAGGGCAGACCCAGGACACGCTGGAGAGATTATATCTCTCGGCTGGCCTGGGAACGCCTTGGTGTTCCCCCGGATAAGCTAGAGGACATGGCTGGGGAGAGGGAGGTCTGGGCCTCTTTGCTTAGGCTGCTGCCCCCGCGACCCGGCCTCAGATAAAGCGGATGAAGATGGATGGATGGATGTTTTAAAAGTCATTATTAATATGAACAGTCACATAAAATTCATTCCAGTTTTTTTGCCTTTGCTTCAGTTAAGATGTTTCTTTAAATCTACAACAGCTTCCTTTTCAAAAAAGTTTACTGACATAGTAAGGAAGTAGCTAGGGACCTCAGTAAGTATGAGCAACAATAGCTTAGGGACAGTTTCTACAATAAAGAGGATTTCATCATCTGCTGTTCGTCAAAAAGTGCCGTATTAAAAACAATTCAGCAGACCCTCAGAGTGCGGATACAAACTGTTTTCAGCTGTAGAGGTAGAGGTACGCTTCATGTACTTATCAACATACAGTTTAGCGGAGTGGATTAGAGTGCATTGGTGCTTGGGCCTCTTTTATTTAGCACGGTTATACCATTGTGAATTTAGCTATACAAATATGCTCAAGAGTCTATCATATGTTTGACATCCAACTAAAAATTCGAAAATATATGTTTTTTAAATCAGTAACTTTGCAAATTTAGAGGAATTGTTTTCGGACAACATATGTGTCACATTTTAAACAGGGTTTGATTAATCAGCACTGACATACAGACATTTATGCCCTGGGTATAACAGACATGCTTACCTTGTGAAAGGCCCTCGGAGTTCTTGGAGCAGAGAGACACTCTGTATTGTTGCTTTTCTCTATTGTATAAGCAGCGCCCGACTGTCAGAAACGCTCTGTGCGGGTAGCAAAGTCGGCTCCAATGCACATTCAGGTGAAAAAATAAAAAGTTAAAACGCTATACCTTGCGGCAGTTGTGAAGTGCTGAGGAAAATACTGTGTGTCTGATGGGGTGTTTTTATATAGGTGGACTTGGTTTCAGTTGGGCTCTGAGATGCAGATATAAAGAGCAGGTTGTAAAGAGAAAGGTGGAAAGCCTTTGGAGACTCTGTTGGACATGGTTTCTGTTGGCCTCTGACATGATAAGATAGCTATAGGTATATTACTACTGAGGTTCCTTGCTTGAGAACTTACATTTATGGATGTGGTATTTGGCGAGGAGTAAAATCAGATTAATGAGGTAAAAAGCATTCAAGTCTTTTCGACTAAAGTCAGTGTAACCAAATAACACATTTTGGTAAAAAAGCACAACATTTGATAAGATATTCTTAGAGATGAAACTAGCGATATCTTTCCACAAATTCACACCTTTACAAGAGGAGAAACAAACCTAACCTAAAGGAGCCTCTCAGGACAGGGCGGGACAAGAACAGGAGTGGGGAGGCAGTGGTATTTCTAAACAACATGGACAGACCAGACGGTATGGCATCAAAAACAATACAAAACTCCCTTGGGGATACTGGGATGTTATATCTGGATAGGAACTGTATAATAAGCCCGCGGTATTGAATAGTTGACTCACCAGAAGAATACCATTATTAAACCAGTTTTCAAAGATCAGCGACTTATTCTTGTAATTAGTGTTACAGTTGTTCCAAATATAAAACCTTTGTGAAGAAAAGTTATGTTTATAGATTAAGGACTATACCAAAAGAGCTTGTTGATGAAAGTTTGAGAGTTAATTGGGATTTTCTGAATATTGTACTTGCAGAGTAGCTGAGATGTTTTTTAATCCAATTTATTTTGAAAGTGTAATTTAGGGAGCTGAAATCTATAAAATCTAAGCCACCATTGTTATAATCGTTCATAACTACGGATTTGCAAATGTAGTGAACTTTGTTTTTCCACAGAAAAATAAATAATATTTTATCAACAGATTTGCATGTAGAATTATTGACATGTAAAGATTGAGCAGCATAGGTCAGACGAGACAAACCCTCGGCTTTGGTGAGCAGTGTTCTACCCTAATCCAGAACACGAGCCTTCAAAGTAAAGCAGGAAACACACAGACTGATTTACAACACAACACGGGGACATGAACAGAGCACCAAGGACAGACACAGGTAGGGCTGAATATACACCAAACTTCAGGTTCAACCCTAAACTAGTACAAAATCTGAATAAACACAAGGCACAAAAATGAACTTCAAGGAAACACAAAACGCTGGGTCAAAATGACCCAGGACCATGACAAGAGGAGGTTTTGGAGCTCTGCAGAAACTGTAGGGAGTCCTGAGGTTTCTACCCTCTGAAATGTCAGTGTGCATCTCAGATGTGTTGTTGTCATCAGGGATGATGTGACGTACCAGCCAAACCATCACCGCACCCAGCTGCAAAACTGTGACACAATCTGCTGTGGTGGCATTAAAGTCCTGCCAGTTTACAGCGGCTGATTTGGTCCCTAAAATCCAGAAAGTAATTATTCATGGTAAGGAATTCATGTGGACACTAAGCGTGTGGGCAGGCAAGGACATTTAAACAGTGAGGCTGACAACCTACCATTTCTTCTTGTCTGGCTTAATGTCTTCTTCAAAGTCCTCTACAGAGAGACCAAACAAATTGAATTTAACAGGTAAAGGAGACTTTACTCACCTAGATTTTTACGCACACCCACAGCACGTGGTGTGGTAAAGGTCGGCCAAGATTTTGACCACATGTCAGAAACTGGTTCAAAATTGGACTAAACTCACTTGAACTCTGACTTTGTCTGCACTTAGAACTATCACAAGACATTAAAACAAAACATCGGGCATTGATGACATCACAGGAATCTAACATTCTAATCTATGCAAACTGTCTCCAAGGCTACATAATATCAAATTAAATCATAGCAAAGGAGTAAAAAGCAGGATCAGTCTTAGAGTGTATGTTACATGTTTGCCAGTTTGGATGAGTGAGTGCAATACTCCATCGGCCTGTGTTGTAGCAACCTGTTGAACCTGCTGAGAAACTTTTCTTTGTCCACTCTGCCCCAAACTTCACATGCTCCATAAAAGTCGAGGCCTAGAGACCTCTGCATAGTTATTGCAATTAGCATTAGGTTATCAGTATCATCTGATATATGACATTTATAGTACAGTACTCACACATGACATACGAGGGAATAAATATGAACTTTTTGACATAAATTTGATCATATGAAATTGGATTTTTTTTAAATGTGAAACTTTTTCCTTCCGTCATACTTCAGAAATATAATATATTAAGTTTTGAACATTTTAAAACATTTAAGTTTGCTCGTTGTATTTGTAAGATCCTACATGGACGTGCTCCACAATCATTGGTCAGTCATGTTAAAATCCATTATCAGTGGAAAACAAACCTGATCCTCTACTAGAGGCGATTGTGCAATACCTTTTAGACATAACAATCAGGAAACAGTTATTATCAGTTAAAGGTAGTGAGATTTGGAGTGATACATGACACATGACGGAATAAGACTCGCAGACTTAGCATGACGAACCGACGAGGAACACGTACACTGTGAATACATACAGAGGGAAAAGGGGACTGGGGATGAGACATGGACATAACTAAGCACAAACAGAGCATGATGGCTGGGGGGGAAAACACACGTGACAGAAGGGATGGGTCACAAGGGCGAAACATGTAAACGAGAGGAGGAGACGGGAGAAAAAGACATTACTGAAATACATGAAGGGCCAGGGCTGGGGCAGCCAACCAGGCACAGACAAAGAGCCACAATTTTTACTGTGTCACCGCAAAGAGCCACATCATACACCTGGGCACACATGAATTTTTCTCACAAAGTTGATAGAGAGTTTGGGTCATAACTCAAAGACACAATGATGCAGTCAAATCATTTGGAATTAAATATCTCTGTCAGTGCGCCCCAGGGTGGCTGTGGCTACAATGTAGCTGCCATCACCAGTGTGTGAATGGGTGGATGACTGGATGTGTAAGGCGCTTTGGGGTCCTTAGGGACTAGTAAAGCGCTATACAAATACAGGCCATTTACATCTGTAAATTACAAGATTTAGAGGGTTCTGACATCACATCCAGTCTCTCTGCTGTAATGTTGTGTTTTTCTCCATAATTTTAATTATAAGCTAGATACATTGCTGCTAACAGCAACAGGGATGAGTCAGTGAGTCAGTTGGGCTTGTGAATCATGATTCATGAGTCAGTAAAGTGATTCTCGAGTACTGAACGATTCGTTCATGATTCGCACTTCACTACTCACAACTATGGCTGAGCGCAATTGGGGTCATGTGCGGACTTATTTTACGTCCACAAACAGCTGAGACGTCGTTTGCGATACATGTGGCAAAAAAAGTGCTCCAAGAGTGAGGTCTTGTGGCCATACTAGGGAGACAATCAAAAGGGCTGTTGGGGGGGGTAAATACATTTTACAGGGTTTATTTATCGGATAAAATACGTTAAATGTCACCGCCAGCATCTCCATGCTGGGGAAATCGGTTTTGCAGCTGTTTGAGCTAAGATTTTCGAGTTATTCACAAAATGAAAACCTGTACTTTGTGTCAGCGAGACCTCCATTCAAATTCAATTCAATTCAATTTTATTTATATAGCGCCAAAACACAACAAAAGTTGCCTCAAGGCGCTTCATGATACAGAGAAAAACCCAACAATCATATGACCCCCTATGAGCAAGCACTTTGGCGACAGTGGGAAGGAAAAACTCCCTTTTAACAGGAAGAAACCTCCGGCAGAACCAGGCTCACATGAAATTAGAGACCACACAAATCCAGTCGTATTAAAGTTAAAGTCAAATTTATTTGTATAGCACATTTAAAACAACTGTTGAACAACATTTAAGATAATCAAAAAAGATTTTTATCTCTATAAATACACGACAAAAAAATAAGAAAAAGAAGCATGAAATGAGAAGATTTGAGTAAGAAACAAGACAAAAGTAGTACAAAATCATTCTGATTTAAAAACCAAGGAATAAAAGTGGGTTTTCAGATGCGTTTTGAAAGTGTCTAATGTTGAGGAGGCCCTGACATGAAGGGGCACTTTGTTACACAATTTAGGAGCAGTCACAGCAAAGGCCCGGTCACCTCTGTGCTTTAATCTGGACCTCAGGACAGCCAGGAGCATTTGAACTGCAGGGCTCAGTGATCTTGCAGGAGTGTACCAATTTAAAAGATCATAAAGTTATGAGGGTGCTAACACGTGCAACGCCTTAAAAACGAATAATAAAATCTTAAAATCAATTCAAAAACTAACTGGCAGCCAGTGTAAGGATGCTAGTATGTGAGATATGTCGTGCCAGTTAGTAACCATGCTGCAGCTTTTTGGACCAGCTGCAGGCAGCTAACTGATGACAGACTGACACCTGAGTAAAGACTATTACAAAAGTTGAGGTGAGATGAAATGAAAGCATGGATAGCTCTCTCAGAGTCTCTAAAACAGAGGAATTGCTTCACTTTTGCAAGTAGCCAGAGGTGAAGGAAACGGGTCTTGATTACAGCATTAATCTGTTTATCAAAGGTTAGATTACTGTCTGTGATGGACGAGAGGAGTCACAGGAATTATCAGAAAAATAGGGTTTCCATTTATTTAACCAAAAAATTATATTTACAAAAGTAATAAATGTTGAGCTCATAAAAGAGGTCAAAGAAACAAAACTAAACTCAGGCAAAGAACTGCAAACTTACCAAATGACTGCCCAAACAAACATAACTGACCTAAACAGGAAATGACACACACGGATATATATAATGGCTGATCAGGAACTAAAGTGTGTTATTGTGTTCAAATGAAAAAATGAAAATACACAAGAGTACTTATTAAACAGATAGAGACCAGAAACACAAACCCTATGAAAAAGGCAACACATGGCTCCAGCACTCATTCAACAGAAAACTACCAAAGTATTTATGTGTTCAGCCTGCAGGTCAAACAGGGATGTAAAAAAGGCATACAGAGCCTAATGCAATCAAAACAGGAAATTCAAAAACAACAAAACAAAAGCGCTCATCCTTTGGCTTCTCAGCAGTGGCCGATAACTGATAATGGCATTTCAGTGAGAAGGCAAACCACAATGCATATATATATATCTATGAAAAACAAGACAAAACACTAATGTGTAGTTGAAAGTCCCTTCTGGCTTGCTTTGAATGAAACATGAGGCCATGCCATGTGGTATGATTACAGCATATCATCATCTTCTCCTCCTCCGTACATGTTGGCCAGTTTCTTGAAGCGAGGGCCCCACTCACTGAGGCAGTCATAGTTCTGGTCTCCACTACTTGAAGAGTTCAAAGAGGAGAGACTTCCTGCATCAGAACCACCTCCCTCATGGTCAAATACCATCTGGGAGTCATAAGGGGGTGCTGTTGGGTCGTTGTCTGCAGCCTTCAGGTTCTGAGGGAGGAGCAAAGATAACTTTTCTAGAAATTTTACACAACTTGTTTTGGTTACCTTACATAGCCTGGATAAAGATAACAGAATAATGAATGTGGAAGTTATTAAAGCCCAGACATGACGTACAATTGATGTACACATCTATCCACATCCATGCCTCTATCGTCTGCTAGCAGAGAAGTCCAGACTTCCCTCATCAGCCACCATCTCCAGCTCATGCCCAGGGCGTCCTCCTGGTAGGAGATGCCTTAAACACCTCGCCAGGGGGAAACCTAGTTTTATTCACCCAATAACAAAAACATTCATACAAACCTTATCTGTACTAAAGTGCCTTGTCTAGCATTCACACACTCACAGTGGATACATCAGGGTCCAGTGTCTTTCACAAGGATCCTTTGAAAATGAGGACTGGAGCCAGGAAGCCAGCCATGATTATGACTTTTAGACAACCCCTTCTACCTCCTGAGCCACAGTTCCCCTAAGAAAACCTTCATTTGAAAAGAACTGCCCACAAGGCACAAAATGCTTTCTCCAAGTGTGACAAAGCACATGTAAGCTGTTTAGGCATTCTGGAATACTCTAGAGCATAAAGAGCTGGTACAGCATTTCATGATCAGAACAAAAACAGTAGTACTCAAGAAACTTGGAATTATCAAGTTAATCCTACAATATTAGAAAGAAACCCCAATAATCAGATGACCTGTGAACAAGCCTCTGGTGACAGTGGGAAGGTGAAACAGGACCCGTCCCTGCTTGCCATGTTGCCAACGGAAATTCCAGACTAGAGTAGAGTCTAGCTGTTTTCCAGGACACTGGTTCCAAGTTGTGAACCAGATTAAACTTTTAAATTCATGCACTTGCTCCTTTCTTACCACGCAACCAACTCCATCATGTCCTCAGAGCCAGTCTTAACAGCCAGGGATCAGACTGCCAGGGCCTGCACACATAACAGCCATCCAACACACAATGCACCTTAACCCCTATGGTACCTCCCGTGGGTGGTGAGCCCACTTAAGTGAAATCTTGTAACCATGCTTGAGTAAGTTTCAAGGTACTTTAGAATCTCACTCACATCTTCAATGAAGTTGTTCATATCTTCTGGGTTGGTGGGCCGAGGTCGGTACTGAGGAGCAGGCATGAAGTTTGGCACCACGTTACTTCTTAACACCTCAGGCCGGTTGTCCAGACCACGGTGGAGAACACTCAAGTCATAGTCCTGATAGAAAGTGATTTAATGATGCATTATTATATGGAATATTTTATGCTGTACTTCTGCAATCCACACTCTTCATCCACTCACTGCTTTAGGCCTGTTGTGTACTCATACTTTTCTATCACTAAAAGGCCTGGGTCAAATCACTGAAATAATACAGCAAATTTAATCAGCCTTTTAAAACTCTCCGTTTTTCTTTTTGGCATTTCACCCAACTCCCCTCCTTTTTCATCCAGGCTTGGGAACGGCAATGGCAGAATTCTCCAGTACTCCAATAAACACAGTGACATATTTTCCAAGGTTTTCTGCTCCTGCGTGTGCAGCTTTGATTACTTTGTACTTGTGTAAATGTGTAATCGCGTAAATGTGTCCATTTACCTGATCATCCTCTCCACCTCCTTCTTCATCATAGTAATAGATGTTGTCCCTGACACTATCATCTAGCAGCAGTGGCTTCTTTTTGTCCTTTTTCCTCTGTTTTGCAAACAGCAGCATTAGCAGCACCAGTGCTGAACACAGAGTGTAAAGTTTAGCACACAGTAATCAACCAAAACCTACTTAGCTGGGAAAGGAAAGAAATGCTCTGACCTGAGATTACAGATGTGTGACTCACCGAGCAGCAGGATGGCTCCAAGTATTCCGAGGATAAGGGGCAGGTTGCTGCCACCTATAGCACGGTCTGTGCATGTCGCCTCTGCTCCCTTGCCCTTGCAGTGGCAAACTTCAGCTTTGATGATGCTGTCCTGCTCCAGGCCATGCTTGTCTGCCACTCTTAGTATAACACTGTAATCTCCACTGGGCAGCTCAGTGCCTAAATTTAAGATGACCCCTGTTCCTGAAATAAACAAGACAGCAGAAATGTAGCTTTATAGTTCTGTGTTGATGGATTTGTTTTGTTACATATTTTTGAAAATGAGACATCTGAATAAAGCCAATCATCCTTCTTTTAAGTATGTTGTGTTAGGGTTTCTTTTCTGGCAGTACTCACTCTCCTCACACAAGCACCAATCACTCTAATCTCAGTGATGAAAACTGAATCATGTATGAGCTAAACTTTAGCCTTTGGAAGGAAGCAGCCCTGATGTTCACAACAGGAAATATTTTTGTTATCGCAAAAGAACACAGCTGATAAAATATCAGTGAAATTTATGTACCAAAATATTTCAAATTCTGGCCATCTTATTGGACAGCATAAGTTTGTACTTGTCACATGTTAGCAGTGTACATACTGGTGTCGTTCATCCTAGCGGTCCAGTTGGTCTTTGACATGCCCTGTAAAGACACCGAGTAGGGAGGTCCAAATTCTGGTCCGTCTTTATCTGTTACTGACAGCAGCTGAGGAGCTGGATCCTTGTTGCACACCTGAGGAAACAAAGTCACAGTGAAGCTTTTCTTCATGCTGATGACCATCCTGTAGTTGGAAATCTTACAAACACACCCATCCTGCACCACAATTAGACAAGTTCAACACAAAACGATTCTTGAGCTATTGGAAATAAGACACACCGTGATTTCACGCTCTTCAATAAACGGAGCATTGTCATTGACATCTTCCAGCTGAATGATCAGGGTACCAGTTCCTGTAGCCGGGACAGCATCTGGTCACAGAACAAACACATCAGGAGACCAAAATGTATTTAAATAAAATCTGTATTATTGCTCAAAAACTTTGCTCTGGACTGATTCTTATAACTAACATTTGGCTGTTAAACAAATAAAGGCAGAGCAATTAAGGGCTACAGTGTTATTAGCTATGAGCATCCAAGGGACATCAGTTTGTACTGGAATTTTGTTTAAGGAGAAGAAAAAAACTTCAGGGCAATAACACACTTTCATATCACTATTATTTTGCTACTGGGAACTTCAGACCAGCTATTGCAGCTTTTACACTGATTTCAGATGTGATATCCAATTTAAGCTTGAGCCTCTGTTTTTTTTAAGATACACATCGTTTTAATACTTGTGAAGATCAAAATAGTATAATCAACAGAAAGTATTGATTTCTAATAATTTCTCATGAAAACTGTTTTAATGTCTTTATTATGAAAGCGAATTAGATGACAATACCGCAGATGTGTTAAAATATATTTCTTTCAATTCAGCTCAAAATAAAATGAGGTCAGTCAGCTGAAACCTGTCTGAGGCACCTTTTTTGTGCTTGTACTGCACATCTCTCTTTTTGTGAGAACCAACAGTATTCACCCATCATACTCAATTTTCCCTGATATTGGTTGCATGAATGCTTCACAAACTGATCGTTTAGTTGGCCTCAGTTTCCTTTTGAGCTCAATGTCAAGTATGATTTCACAGATTTCAGGACAAACCTAATTTTAGCTTCACTTTTTTTTCACTTTATTTCTAAAGACAGAACATATTTCTTGAAACAAAACGTATTTCCTAAATGCTGAAACGCGCTGCTGTTTCTGTCCAGTCATCTTCGTTGTTCAGTACTTGGAACATCATACTGTAAACCAGGATGTGTTAGACAAAAACAGTTTTCAGATTCTTATTCAGCAAGTGAAAGTTCCTGAAGTAAAGGTGAAGGAATCCCAGAAGCAAAACTCTTGTTGACCAGTGTAATTATTCAGACACTTGTAATTTAATAAAATCATATCAGTGGTCATTGTGTATGGGAGTCAAATGATGATAATAGTGTGCAGCAGTCTTAACTCCCACCTACCATCATCACATGCACCAATGTTTGCGATGTATCTGCTGTTTGTGACAAAAGGAGCTTCTCTGTCCATGAATCTTCTCACTTTAATAAGACCTGTGTCCTTGTCCACATTCAGCCAGCCTGCAGGGTCATTAATCATTTTGTACCTGCACAAGACAGTCACAGAAAAGATGGCAATACTGTGCAGGCGGGGTGATTGCAATTAGCATGCTTCACAATGTGGCGCAATGTGTTATTTGATTTTTGACATAGACTTACTTTTTCCTTAGGCTAAATACACAGTGACAGGTTAGGCGCAGAATGCCATTTATTCAGTATTCAGTATTATTTATATTGTGATAAATCACAACAACAGTCAATTCAATTTGCAAATCTCATGAAACACATTAACTGTCACAGGGTTCCTGTATCCTACCAGTGCTACCCCTGAGCTCATTAGTAGACACACCTATTAATCAGGATTTTACGGCTGAAGGGTAAAAAAAATGCTTTTCTTCAGAAAAAGAAATAAAAAACAGAGAAAAAAATAGAAATAATAATAATATTAATAATGGCTTTTAAGACCTTACTGATAACGATAATCCAAAGTAGTATTAGGAGTCATTAAAAGTCATGAGGGAGGTGGCTCTGCTGCAGAGGGGGTTTGGTTCAGCAGGCCCAAGGGACAGTACAAGAGAGGCTGGCAGGGCAGCTGAAAGCAATTCAGTTATTTCAGGGGCATCAGGACCAGAAGGAAGATAAACGTCACGGGGCCTCAGCAGCAGACCTTGAGCTTATTTAAGATGCTGAAGGCAGGAATCTGATTTACCAAAAAAATTATTGGAGGCCGGAAAAAACAAAGGCAAAAGCGCACTGAGATAAACTAACTAAAAATCTAAACTGGGAATAAACTATGATTAACTGTGACTTTAGAGCATAAACATGAATCTGAAACGGTGCATGTGGAAAAGAAAAACATGAACATGCACCTCAGCAGAAAGCATGGTAACAACCATCCAGTCACTTGGATGAGTGACCAAACATTTCTCCCACAAAACGCTACGTCCAGATGAACAGAATCAACTTTTTGGAGATTTACTTTCCTGGATGATTGCGAGTGCATCAAGACGTTTTCACTAGCAGCAATGCAAATGTTGTTCATGTGACCTAATTATCTCACATTAGGCCTGAGAAAATGAACTCTGGCTTTAAAGATTCTAAGACTGTTTACTCAGACTCTGAGAACTCAAAGACTCCTTGCTCAGGATCTGTGATCATTAAGACTGTTCACTTTATTGGCACTTGCTTAAAAGCTGTGGGCACTAAGGACTGTTTTTCACCTGCCCTCTCGGAGTGTGGAGTTATGTCCCAACAGACTGTTTCCCCTCAGGCTTCAGCTCGGCTACCAGCTCAGCCTCCTGTTCAGCTCTCTGATTTGCCAGGGGTCTCCATACCGGTCCTGCATCAACTTCTGCTGGACGTACAGGTCAAGCCCAGCAACCAGTGGCCCCAGTACCACTGTCTGCCTCAGCTGGAGGTTCAGGAGACAAGCAGCCAGCATGTCTCGTCGGCTTGGTGACCATGGACTCTTGTGCTGTTGTTCAGGTCACCCACTGACCTGGTGGCTTTTGGTTTTTGGCCATGACACCCTGGGTTGATGAGCTCTTGGACCAGTTTGGTACTGCTCGTATTTTGACGACACTGGATTCAACTAAAGGCTACTGGAAGATTCCCTTGTCTAGTGAGTCTAAGAGAAAAAGCGCCTACTCCACAAAGGCCTTCTCCAGGTGCAGCTTCCTGCACCATCTTTTCAAAATCGTCATATTTACCACCACAAAGTGTTTTTATGTGCTAAAAGGAAGGAATCATTTCCTTCCATGTTAGTAAAACCAGTTCTGAAGTATGGTTTCACTCTGAGGGTATAGCAACCGTGGCACCCAGTTTCTTGAAAAAACTTAACTTTGAGCTGTAATTTTAAACTATTTAGGGGTTTCTGCTACTATGGCAGTTTGTGGGAGGTGGTATGGTGGTTAGCACTGTTGCCTCGCAGCAAGAAGGTCTCGAGTCCTGGGTCTGTGTGGACATTGCATGTTCTCTCCGGCTATTGCAGCTTTCTCCCACTGTCCAAAGAACTGCGTGCCCATAGTGTGGGGGAGAGTGAATAATTGTTTGTGTTGGCTCTGCGAGACACGGTGTACGCTGCCTCTACCACAGCTGACATAGGTTCCAAATTCTACTTTTTAGGTAAAATGCTTTTCATCATTAGAGATCATTTTATGATTCTACTGTGTGTTGTCATAATTCAGTTTTCCTTATATTGTCATTAATGAGAACTTAATTGCAGCGACAGTGCAAAATCTGGTAGATGGATTGATTCTTACACAGCACTTTTCTGCTCCACCTTAGCACATAACATGCCACATTTACCCATTCAAACATTTTTTTGTATAACAAGTGTGTTCTATCTAACATTCATATTCACTTGGGGTTAGTAGAGATTTCAGTACATCTATGTGGTAGCCAGAGAATGTTCTTTTTCAGAAATATTTGGGCACCAAATTTATTTTGCATCACAGAAAAATATATAAACCAAATGCTATTTCCATCCATCTTCATCCGCTTTATCCGGGGCCGGGTCGCAGGGGGCAGCAGCCTAAGCAGAGAAGCCCAGACCTCCCACTCCCCAGCTACCTCCTCCAGCTTATCCGGGGGAACACCAAGGCGTTCCCAGGCCAGCCGAGAGATATAATCTCTCCAGCGTGTCCTGTGTCTGCCCCGGGGCCTCCTCCCGGTGGGACATGCCCGGAACACCTCACCCAGGAGGCGCTCAGGAGGCATCCTTGTCATATACTCGAACCACCTCAGCTGGCTCCTTTCGATGTGGAGGAGCAGCGGCTCTACTCTGAGCCCCTTCCGCAAATGTTATTTAAAATCTATAATTAGTCTGTGTGACGATTATGAAGTACCAATCAGCTATCAACAACACTCTGTACTGTTAAGATTGTACACTTATTGTTATCATCAAGTGTTTTCATAAATGAGAGAACCAATTTATTCTGTTTATCTCTCTCTGGTGCACAATGCAAGTTTTGGGCTCGACCCCGTTGTGCTTGAAAACATTCTTCAAAGTTTTTGGTCTACGTTGACATGACATCATCATGCAGATTTGTCAGCTCTGGAGCCATCATGCAAATCTCCCATTCCATCCCAACAGCGTGCCATTGGATTGAATCTCGTGACTGTGGAAGCAACTTGAGTACAGTGAACTCACTGCCTTGTTCAAGAAACCAGTTTGAGATTATCTAAGCTTTGAGATATGGTCTGTGGTCCTGCTGGAAGCATCAATAAGAAGGGCAGATACACTGAAGGGAGGGACATGTAGCAGGCTGTGTAATTTATGTTACTGACAAATTCTGTTCCTTTCAACAGAAACAAAACTCTTCGGACCAGAAAATATTCTTCCAATCTTTGTTTGTCCAGGTGTGGTGTAAACTGTAGCCTCAGTTATCTATTCTTAGCTAACAAATCACCCAGTCACCTGGTTTGATCTTTAACTGCTGTAACCCATCTGCTTTAAGGTTGAATGTGCTGTGCATTTAGAGATGCTGCTCTGCATATGATGGTTATCCAAATCTACAAGGGGTGCAACAATACATGTATCAATATTCAACCGTTTGATACAGTGCTTTCGGTTCGGTACGCACATGTATTGAACAATACAACATTTTTTATTTATTTTATCAGCTTTTCTTCTGACGATGCTGTCTGTGTTGAGCGCTCAGTGGATCTGCGTTCGACTACTCTGCCTAGGCTGCACTGTCGAGTGCATATACACTGAGCGCAGCGCAAGCTAGCAAGACAGAAGCTAAGCTCGTTGAAACATGGCAACTGCCTCAACGCTACCCGAAATTGAACCTCCCCCACCCTCATTCAGATCTGGCCTTTAGACCTATTTTGGTTTTCATGTGAAGTATGACCCTGATGGTAAGCGAGTCATGGACAAAAGTAAAACAGTATGTCGGATGTGCTACGCAATGCTCAATTGGTGGGAACTAGTGCGTTAGCGCAGTTAGGTTGTTAACGTGTCGACGCCGTCCACGGCGATCCGCGGTAACTTGTTAACGGAGATTTGCTGCGTTATGGCGTTAATGTCATTTTAACGAGATTAACGCTGACAGCACTAGTGGGAACACAACGAATATGACTGCGTATTTACGCTGACATCATCCTGGTGCAAAGACAAGTGGAAGCAGACAAAACAACAAGCAGCATGCTACAAACTTTACCCGAGTCATTTAGACAGCCGTTAGCACATGATTCTCCTTATGGGGACCTGATATGTTTAATATGCTGCTGAGAATATAGCCCAGAAGAAGCTTATAGTATAACTTTTATTTTGGAAAGAGACATTTCTCTGTAATAAAGAGAAATGGCCAAAGATGAGTGTTTTCTCGATCAGATCGATTTATTTTTTTTATTATTTTGTTGTTTCAGCAACATTAAACTTAAAAACTGTACCTTTGAGTTAAAATATATATTTATAATTTTAATAAATGACAAATTAAAAAGGCATGAATATTTTTTTGTATTGAAAACATATCGAACCGTGACACCAAAGTATCGAACCGAACCGAACCGTGAATTTTGTGTATCGTTGCACCCCTAATATCTACATATGAATCTCTAGTGGTAGTTTGAGTCAAGGCTAGCTTCCTATGAGCTCAAAGCAGTCTGGCCGTTCTCCTCTGATATCAAGAAAACATTAAGAAAACAATTAAACTTTTCAAGCCCGTCTGTCAGCTTGTTGGGTGTTAAAAAGCAAATTCTGACTAATACTAGGGGTGTTTTATAGTGTGTTTTTTTTTTTCAATATTTCAAAAGTAATGTAATGTTTGCTTATGAGGTTGGTGACACATTTTTTGTTTACCTTTTTACTTCAAATGTTGTTTGAAGTAAAAAGATGTTTGGGGGGGGTTAGTTCCTAGTTGACTTACGTGACTTTCTGCTTGCGTGCAGTGTCTGGGTCTGAAGCAGTGTACTGCACCACAACTTCATCCACAGGAAGGTCCTCTGGTTTTACCACAAGAAGCTCCTTTGGATCAAAGACTGGAGCTTCATTCACATCTCTCACATTCACCACCACTGTGGTGGTAGAAGTGACCACAGAAACACCAGGAGCAAAAGGAATCTCATTCTCCACTGAAACCAACAGAGTGTGCTTGCTGGCCCTCTCGAAGTCCAGCTCCTGGTTGGAAGGAAGGGAGAAAAAAACACATTATAAGGGTGTTGGCACAGATTTTTATTAAGTCCCAACAAATCACAGAAAATGCTTCCATCAACTAATCACTGATGATAAATATCTCCCAATATTATGAATGAATTCCTGATTTTCTTCCTACCTTTGCAGTAGAAAGGATTCCTTCGTGTTTGTTAGTTCCTGTTTTTACTGTGAAAAGTCCATCAGGATCACCACTGACGATCTTGAAGATGGCGTTCCAGGCTGGAGTTTGTGGTTCATCCTCATCTGTTACTATCATCTTAACCACCACAACATCCTTTTTGTTTTCATCAACTGTCGCACTATACTGTGAGAAAATTAAGGATGGGTCAGAATCATGGGAGTCAAAACAGATCTTGGTGTTCTGTTCTGTTTTTGCTGTGATGGGTCATCGGAGTCTAATAATAATGGATTTATATAGCACTTTTCAAGGCACCCAAAGCACTTTACAATTCCATTATTCATTCACTCTCACATTCACACACTGGTGGAAGCAAGTTACAGTTGCAGCCACAGCTGCCCTGGGACAGACTGACAGAAGCGAGGCTGCTATATATCGCGCCATCGGCCCCTCTGGCCAACACCAGTTGGCGGTAGGGTAAATGTCTTGCCCACGGACACAACGACCAGGACAGAGAGCCTGGGGATCGAACAGGCGACCTTCCGGTTACAGATGCGCTTCCCAACCTCCAGCACCACGGTCGCCTAACTGCCAAATAACTTAAATTGTACATCAATAATTCATGTTCAGTTCCGTCTAATCTTATTGCAGACATATACTTCTTGCAAGAAACTGACTTGCTCACTATGAAATCCGAAATCTTAAAGTACAAAGTTTGACAAGATATAACATCAAACATATAATAGTAAAGGAGGTGAAAAAAACATTAATTTGTAATACATCTCTCAGTGATCCAATAAGATTATCAGTTTATCCCTAAGTAATAAAATATTCATTCTAGTCAACATTTGTGGCCCCAGCAATGACAATCCATCTTTCTTCCACAACCTCTTTTCATTATTAACCAAATCAACAAACATAATTATCAACTAAAACTTCAGCACAGTCATCAAACTCACCCACCTGGCCCAAAAATGTGAATTTTTAATATTTAAATACCAACTTACTTAAACTAGACATACAATTCAACTCCAGCAACTGAATATAGACCTTCTACTTACAAAAATAAATGGGTAAATAAATGTCAAATGGATTACAACACAAAAAGGAAAGTAGCCAGCAATAGTCTTCTGACCAAAACTCAACACAACAAATCACAATCTAAAGATAAAGCAGACATGTTAGATGAACCCATTAACTTCATAAAGCACTCAGCAAAATATCAAAGAACTAATTACTTAAGAGTGATGACAAATTCTCTATTTGTTAACAAGACTGATGTGTTTACTGTAAGAGTAACACAAGTTTTTAGCAATTTCTGGGCTCAGTCTGCTTCGTCTTTTGTTGTAGACTTTCTGGAATGTCATGTCATCAGGTTTATTCTAAACATTGTCAAGCAAAGCTAGAAGCTTGCATAGTACTAGATGCAGCATTTAATTTATTTTAAATAAGATAAAGATTTCTGTTGAAATTATTAAAAAAAGAGAATAGCTTAGAGCTGAAAAATCATGCTTGTTTTATTTTTCTCCTTGAAAGCAGCGGCTATTTTTGACAGATGTTAATGAATTCACAGCACAGTCTTCTCTTTCTCTCTTCTAATATGAACGAATGGAGCTAAATATTCGGTCTGTGGTTTTCTCTCTCCTGTATTAGAGTAATCATTCTAATAAGACAATATTTATTATTTATACTGTAGATTCCATTGTTTACGTGAATGGATGGTCTATACTGCCTTTCAGGATCCTCAAAACAATTATGGGAGATGGGGTGTTGTTTTCTTCTGTACATGTCTGGCACCCTGAGTATTTTAAGTATCAAAAACAAGTCTAAGAATTGTTGTTGAAGTTCTTTTAATGTTGCCATCACCTTTTTTGCTTTTGTTGTGACAATAGTTTACTTCATAGCCTAGAGTGAAAAGCTCATTTGCTCCCACCTGATGTGGTGTTAAGGCGATATTTAATTTCACCAGTACGTGGCAATGGCCACCTACTGCCACCTACTGGCTCAGACAAATTAGTAACTGGCAAAGTAATCCCTTACAAAAGTGTCACGTTCTGAGTTTTAGTTTATTTTGATGTTTATGGTATGTTTAAGTTCTTTAGGTTATCTAAGTTCATTTGTTATTAGTTTCCCCTTGTGTTTTCAACCCTTGTTAAGTCCCCCTTGCCCTTCATGTGTTTCATGTCTCTTCTTATGCTGTCAAGTTCATGTAGTCATGTCTGCGTTTCATTATGTTTCCTATTTTATTTTGTAAGAGGTCCTGTGTTCTGTGTTTTGTCTTACTCTTTCCCTGTGGCGTTGTTATGTCCACGTTGTGTCTACTGTGCCTTTCTGTCCCATGTTTCAGGTCCCTATGTTCTTTCTCCTCAGTTGCTGTTAAGTTCACATGTCTAGGGTTCAGTCAGTGTGTTTCCTGTTTTACTTTGAAGGTCCGTGTCTTATGTCAGTGTTTCTAGTTTTGCTTCCCTTGTCTGGTCCAGCCTGATTACTCCCAGCTGTGCTCTCCTTCTGTGTCTCATTCCCTCGTTATCCCTCAGTGTATTTAAGCCCTGTGTTTCTCTTTGTCAGTGTTGTAGTCTCCCTCATGGCTGTGGTTCCCTGTGTGTCAGTTTATCCATGTCCCAGTTTAGTTTAGTTTTTCCATGCTATTCTACAATAAAGCAGCTTTTTGAGTTTAATTTTGTTGTTGTGAGTTTTCCGTTTGGGTCCTTTTTCTGCCTGCACACAGCTGAAACATGACAAAAAGTAACACAGGCCGGTTATTATATGGAAGCCATCAGTAACACAGAACTGCTGTTTTGCTGTGTTTCAGGTGAGAGCAGCATACGAGCACTATACACGTTTATGTAAAGTTGATACTTATTTAAAGTAACATATTTGGGATGTAAACAGGGATTGAAGATAAGATAACTCTTTATTGTCACTGCACAGTCATACCAAGTACAATAGCACAACGAAATTGGAAACTGTCCCGCGTCAGCACTGCGCATAACACAACACAACACAGTAACTTATCTTAATAAATAAAAAGAAAGAACGTATGTTTATTGTACATTGTTTTTATTATTGTTATTGTTATTGCCCCCCAAAAAGTCTAGGGAGGTAGTCACTCAGGTCAGCTGTTAGAATTGGTTAGGTCTATTGCCCTGTTGCAAAAGCTGTCCCTGAGTCTGTTTGTCGGGGACCTCAGCAGCCTGAATCTCTAGCCAGACGGCAGCAGCTTAAACATTCTGGGTGTGTACAGTCCCGTAGGATGCTGCGTGCCCTCTTGAGATAGCGAGTGCTCTACAGGTCCTTTAGGGAAGGAAGAGGATGGACAATGATTTTTTTGGGCCATAATAATGGCGCTCTGAAGTGCTTTACCATTACTTGCTATCACTACAGCCTTCTTCCTCTCCTTATCAAAAACTATTATGTCCAGTTAGTTAGCCATCACCAGTTGTAGCTGTCTGTAGCTGGGAGTCACACAGGATCATAGCTTGGTCATTCTCAATCATCTTGGAGTGGGTGTATCCCAAATTGACCTTGTATACTATACCAGTCTGCTAGCATCTTTTATCCTGCTGCTATGTGTTGGATTCTCTCAAGGGGGTTCTTTGCACAGCCTGCACCAGGGATCTTGAGTGGTGTGGTAGCCCCCCACTCTCTATCAATCTTCTGCTTAGGACTCGTTCATGTCTTGCTATGATGATGAAGCGTTTCTGTGCTATCTTTCAGTCCCACTACTTAAACAATCCAGGTGGTTCACAAGTTCGTCAGTCTGGTCTTACAGTGTTGAGCAACTGCTCGAGCTAGTGTCTTGCCCCTCTGACATCCGACAGGCCTTTCCATGTTGTGCTAAGATAAGTTATTGGCTGGTACTTGAATGGGAATAGTCCCATCTGGGGATCCTTGGGAGATCAGGCTTTCTGGCATCTCATTCATCCACAGATGGTTCATTTGTACTAGAGATGCAGTAGAGATTGTCCATAATTTCAAAGTTGTTCTTTGGACATTGACTGCTTTAATGCTTCAATGCCTTTGCATGAAGGGGAATCTTTTTTCAAACTGTGTTCTAACTTTGCAGTCATTCAAATTATAATGTATTAGACCAGGGTTAACTGGTGGATGTGTGGGTGTGAAACTCATATCAGCTGTCTGGATTAAGTTTTGTGGGGACTTGGCTGATGTCTTAAATTGGGAAGTGGGGCACTCACAAAACAGGACATTAGAAAACAACCAGTAAAATGACGTCTCAAAAACTATGTGAATTACATAAATATTTGCTACTTGATTTTCAGGGTTTTTTTTTAATCAGAGTTTTTTATGGAATGATGATTTTATGGAATGATTCAGCCACTAATTACATTCACAGTAGTCACTCAGTGTGTCTTTAGGGATTTGCTAGCTTAGCTTAGCTCATAGCCAACCCGCTAGCAGCATGGCCTCTTTACCTGTGCCTCGTGCACTTTCCTGCTCAGATGTTTAGTTAGTCATCGGCCTGCTTTAGCAATAACAACACTTGTAATAGGCTGCAAAAGGCTTCTACTTGTGCAGACTCCTGCTCGCACTGGAGCGGTTCACATCCATGTGAAGCGGCAGGAATGACAATCAGCATCTCCAAGTCTGAGACCATGGTCCTCAGCCGGAAAAGAATGGAGTGCCCACTCTGTGTCAGGGACAATTTACTGTCCCAAGTGGAAGAGTTTAAGTTTTAATTTAAATTCTTGTTCACAAGTAAGAGGAGCAGGAGATCAACAAAGATTGGTGCTGCGGCTGCAGTGACACTGTACCAGTCCATCGTGATGAAAAGAGAGCTGAGTATAAAAGCAAAGCTCTCAATTTAATGGTCAATCTACATCCACACCCTCACCTATGGTTATGAGCTTTGGGTAGGCCCGAAAGAAGGAAATCGAGGAAATGATCTTTCTCCGAAGGATGGCTCGACTCTGCCTCTTAGATATAGGGTGAGGAGTTCAGCTATCTGGAACGGGCTCAGAGTACAGCCACTACTGCCCCACATCGAAAGGAGTCAGTTGAGTCAGTTCAGGCATCTGTCAATGATGGTTCCTAGGTGCCTCCTGGGTGAGGTGTCCCAAGCATGTTGCAGCGCAGACCAATGACACGCTGGAGAAATTATATCTCTCAGCTGGTGTGGGAATGCCTTGGTGTTACCCCGGATAAGCTGGAGGAGGTGGCCGGAAAGAGGGTGGTCAGGACTTTTCTTCTTAGGCTGCTGCCTCCCCCCCCAACCCGGCCTTGGAAAAGTGGAGATGGATGTTCTGGGACATGTGAAGCTAGAGACACCAGCAATCATAGTCAAGTGCCTTCCAGGGACTAGAAAAGGCGACACTGAGGGACATTTAAAACTGCTGGCTAAGGGTAAATGTAAATTCTGTAAAATTATAATTCACATCGACAGAAACCAGAGGACCTTGCTGTGGATGAAGTCATGGTAAAAAAAAATCAGGTAGTTCATCAGGTCCCAACCAGCCCAAATATCAAAGGGAAATTAAAATGCATGCCGTGGAAGAGTTCGGGTCTTAGGAGGTTAAAGAAAATAAGAACAATCCTCGGTTTCTCTTCAGCACCGCAGCCAGACTCACATGTATATGTCAAATGTCAGAGCTTTGTTAAGCCAACCATTCTGTTGATGGTATATAATAATGACATCATGAATTTCTTCACAAATAAAATTTTAGCCATTAAAGAAAAAAAAACACTCCAACAAATCACAAACATAAAATTATGTGCAGCTACTTTTAATACCACTGATATTTATTTAGACAATTTTTTCCAAGAGATCTTTCTGAGTTAACTTTGGTAATCACTTCTAGTAAAGGATGAACATTTCTTTCAGACCCAATTCCTACAAGACGGCTCAAGTCCTACCATTAATTAATACTAAAATCTTAAATATGATGAGATGAGAGATGAGATAGCCTTTATTTGTCAGTTGCAGGTCTTTTGCCCACAACCGAGATGAACCTATCGCTAATAACCGGCTATTCATACCAGACCAAAAGTCTTTTTCCATGGCCTCTCCAAACTTCTTCCACATCCGAGTTTTTGCTTCAGCCACTGCCCGAGCCGCATTCCGCTTGGCCTGTCGATACCTATCAGCTGCCTCCGGAGTCCCACAGGCTAACCAAGCCCAATAGGACTCCTTCTTTAGCCTGGTGCCTCCCTTCACCTCTGGTGTCCACCATTTGGTTCAGGGGTTACCATCACGACAGACTCCAACAACCTTGCGGTTTGCAGCTCAGTGTAGCAGCTTCGGCAATGGAGGTGCTGAACATGGTCCATTCGGACTCAGTGTCTGAATGGACAAGCTCTCTAAAAGATAAAGAGAGAGCTGAGCGTAAAAGCAAAGCTCTCAATTTACCGGTCGACCTACATCCCTACCCTCAACTATGGTCACGAGCTGTGGGTAGTGACCGAAAGAATGAGATTGCGGATACAAGGGGTGGAAATTAGCTTCCTCTGAAGGGTGGCTGGAATCTCCCTTAGAGATAGGGGGAGAAGTTCAGTCATCCGGGAGGGTCTCAGAGTAGAGCCGCTGCTCTTGCACATTGAAAGAAGCCAGATGAGGTGGTTCGTGCATCTGACAAGGATGCCTCCTGGGTGAGGTGTTCCGAGTGTGTCCCACTTGGAGGAGGGACAGGACACGCTTGAGAGATTATACCTCTCAGTTGGTCTGGGAACGCCTTGGTGTTCCCTGGACAAGCTGGAGGAGATGGCCGGGGAGAGGGAGGTCTGGGCTTCTCTGCTTAGGCTGCGTCCCCTGCAACCCGGCCTCGGATAAGGAGAAGATGATGGCTGGACAACAGACTTTCAAGCTGGCTCTAGTTAAACCATTGCTTAAAAGATGGCCATGACTGACCACGTGCTTAGAGAATAACTCAAGCAGCAGAAACCCAAGAAAGAGGAGCAAGAGTAGGAACCATTATGGAAGGACAGGCCCCTGCAGGGTGGATGCAGTAGTTACAATTGTTTCAAAGAAAGTAATAAGCAATGCACTCAACTGCCATGGTCTGCATGCCCATTCACCATGCCATCTACCAAGATGATGAAGATGAGGCAAGGATGGTCGCTTTCAGTAAGACAATGATTCCAAACACAAAGCCAAGGAAAGACTCAGTTGGTAACAGAGAAAGATAATAAAGCTGCTAGAATGGCCCAGCCCTGAGACCAGAATCCACCTGAGCTTCGGCTCTGTCTATACATTTTCAGAATTCATAGAAGTGCCCCACAGAAGCTTCAGGATTTGAAAACTGCTTGTGTGCATGCATGCGACTAGTTTCTCCATAAAGGAGGCATCTTGAATCCAAAATACTTTTGGATGGAGTATTAAACATCAGTAAGCATGTTCAATACTTTTTCCTTGTGTCATTTCTTATTTCACATGCATCACTGCACATGCTGTGGACTTATTTTGTTAAATGGTGTGCATTAGCTGTGGCAGTATGTGTGAGTGCAACATTAGTAAGGCAGCTAGATACAGACTGAATGTGTTCTGCTTTAACAGAGTGAAAAAGCAGCAGTTAAACAGGAAGTTTCCAGTTACCAGTACTTTGTACTTACAGATTTCTGAGTGAAGACTGGAATGTTGTCATTGCTGTCCGTCACCGTGAGGATGACTTTTGTTTGTCCAGTTAACCCTTCTCCTGCCATATCTGCTGCTTGTACTGTCAGAGTGTACTGTGGATATTTCTGTTAAGAGACGAGGACTGTTAAGGTAGATCAGCTCATCAACAGGAAGGAGGAAACACTGACATCAGTTTACAGACCTCTGTAACACACGGCTTTCAAACTGACTAAAACCCTTCACCTATGAAGGCCTGGCATTCTGCTGAAAAGCTGAAGATAAACTCATAGAATATTTTGCTTATGACAAATACATGCAAACCTGATGCCATTATCTGATATTAGCCTTAGTCAAACTTTTTAAATATAGTGTATTATTCACCAAGCAGTGGTGAAACTGACAAGCATGACACAAACTAGAAATGGAGACCATTAGACTCTAAAGTAAAAGTTAAGCTTCAAGAACAGTGTTTGTTTTCAGCAGTAAATTCAGGTTTTACTTCAAAGGTAAATATTATCATTATCCAAGAAATCACCAGCAGTGTTTTTGGTGCAGTGCCCTCTTTGTGATTGATTTCTAGCAGTGACAGGCAGGCTACTGATCCTGATTCATAAAAATGCTTTTTCAGTACTTAGGCGTAAAAGGACACTTGTGTTTTAAATGTGTTTAACAGGTCTTACCTCTCTATCCAGTCCTCTACCAGTGATTCTGATGCTTCCAGTAATTGGGTTGATTTCAAACATGTTGTCAGTGGGCAGCGGTGGGTCCTGGTTCAGAATACGATAGCGGAGCTCTGAGTTGTCAGTACTTGGCTCATCGTCATCTTTGGCCTCAACCCTAACCACCTCAGTCCCTGGAGTGGAGGAATTCAGAAAAAGGAAATAAAGAGCAGAAGTTTTAGAAGGTCTTCACATTGCTTCATTTAAGTATTTATTAAATCAAAATAGAGTTAGCGTAAAAAGTCTAATTTCATTCCAACCCACATTGTAATTTTCTGAAGGTTCTGAAGGTTTCTGAATGTCTTAAAATTCATTGCATTTAAACCTCTGCACTACATTGATTTCTATTGATGAGAATTGTAGATAGTAGCAAAAATAAAGAAAACTGCAAATAAGTGCCAACAAGAAAACAAAATAATGTCAAAAATATGTTTAAACATACCAATGGTCGTGGCCTCAGCAACATTTGCTTTGTAGTCTGTCGTAAAATAAGGTTTGTTGTCGTTCTGGTCGATCACACGTACTATAATCTCCATAGGAGCCTCAGCTTGTCCTGCTCCATCAGCCACAGCATGTGCTTCAAACTACACAGGCAGAAGATTTCAACATGTTTGATTCAGAAAGTTTCAGATTCACCTTTAAATTAATTCATTTATCTCTACACCTTTAATCTACACACAATACAAACAAAGCAAAGATTTTAGTGTCTTGATGTGACTTTTGTTGTGATTCTTTTCTTTTGTGTGCCACCTGCTGCTACTGGTTTCATGTCAGCGTGTCTTTTGTTTTGTCTCCCTTCTCTCACCCCGAGAGAAGGGAGACAAAACAAAAGACACGCTGACATGAAAGCTAGAGATTGATAATAACTAATAATTGAATGCAGAGCAGTGTATAAACACAATGAGTGAAAAAAGTTCTAAGTTCTCAGCCTAATCTTAAAAGTAGAGAGGGTGTCTATCTCTCAAATCCAAACTGGAAGCTGGTTCCACAGAAGAGTACTTTAAATATTCTAAGAACCACAAGTAAGCCTGCAGTCTGAGAGCACTTAATTGGGGTGATACGGTACTTTAACGTCATTAAGATAAGATGGGGGCTGATTCTTTTATGTGATGTACAAAGAACATCAAAAACAAACAATTTTAACAGAACTTATAACATAAAATGTTTATAAAAAAGTTTTCCAAAGTCACTCCACATGAAAGGATAATCAGAATAAAAGCCTTCATCATCAAGTGTGATGAAAGTGTGTATCTTTTGATGATCATCAAAAGATACACACTTTGGAAAACATTTGGACAAAGTGGGGATGCTTACTAGATATTCGGCTGTTTCCTCTCTGTCAAGTGGCTGTGTTACATACAGATTTCCAGTCTCTCTGTCCATTCTGAAACGACCAACAGGAGGCAGATCAGCTCCTGGACCAGTGATGCTGTAAAAGACCTTCCTTGTTTTATCTTCATTGGAGCGGATCTGGAAAAAACACACAGGACTGAGTTAGATCACTCTCACTGTCTATGGTAAAGGTTATGCAACAATAAAGAAGCTGTGCAAGTTCATCTTCAAAAATATCAAGAGATTCTTGGTTATCCTGATACACAGATCAGAATGATTCAGTCATCTTGTGATCTCAAATCAATAAGATTGCTAGATTCTCTAAGCGGATCTGGAAAAAACCACATTGACTTAAATCACTCTCAGTGATGAGGATAACAGTTCTGGGATAGCTGTTGCTCAGGATGTCAAGCAGGTAATTTACTGATCATAAGGTTGGTGGTTCAATCCCTATCTACTTCACTCTGCTTTTCAAATATCCTTGAGTAAGATACTAACCATGATTTGCTTTATAATGTTTGTGAATGTTAGAAAGCACTTTCACAAAAAAAGCATGGGAAAAAGTCCTCGTATGAATAGGACAAGTTGTATAAAGCACTCTGAGTGCTCAGAAAGAGAATGAAGAAGTAAAAAAATTTCTGTTCATGAACCAGTTCATTTAACGTTTATACAACAGCAAAGAGGCTATGCACATTAATATTCAACAGAATCCTGGTTATCCTGATATCAAACATAAGAGAGCAGAGAAAGACAGCACAGTAGTGGATGTCGTAAGATAAATTAACCAATATACAGTATATAGCGTGAAACACAACTCTGTAGTTTTCTTAGAATAATTATGTTATTCCAACAATTTCCAACACACAGTATGGAAAAGACAGTAATAAAACAAGTGTCAATGTACTAACTGCCAACATCTTGCTCTCATTACTGCACATAAACTTTAGATCTTTCCCTAAAGCAATAACTTTTCATTCTCTTTCATAGATATTTTATTTATCTAGAATTAACAAAGTTAGCTCATAACTAAGAGGCATCTAAAAAAACTGGAAATTCTGGAGATTCAATAGTGACAACTAAAAATGGGAAAAACACGTGCTGACTGCAGAGGAACAACAGAGAAATCCTGTCCACAAATAATGTCAACAAAAGTCATTCAGTTCCCCTTACCTGAGCTACTTTTAGGGGATAGGTTCCTCTCTGATTCTCAGAAACTTTGAGAGGAGGAATAACCCAGTCTCTCTTCCTCCTCCTCAGTCCTCCAAGAGACTTGGGGAATTGAAGAACATGCGCTTGTGGATCAGTGGCATTCTGGGAAAACATGCAGACATATTGTTGGCAAAAGCATGAACAGAAGAAGACTCAGAAATTGTAATGAGGACCACAGATCTTATAATATATCTCAGAATCTGTGACTGTGTATCGTCTACACCATTTTTAACCTAAGACAGCTGATTCATAGATTAAAAATCGAACAAAATATTAGAAAAATTGGAAGCTGTTCCTCAAAAGAGGGACTTGAAAGCTGAAGGCTCTGCCTCTCTATTATACTTTTAACACTCTAGGAACCACAAGTAAGCCCAGAGTCTGAGAGCGAAATGCTCTAATGGGGTGATACGGTACTTTAAGGTCATTAAGATAAAATGGGATTGATTACTCAAGTATTGTATTTGAGGAGCAGAATTTTAAATTTGAGGTTTTCCATGAGGTGTTAGTGTGTTCAGTCCTGTCACACATTTACAAAGACATCATCCCAGCCCCACAAAACTCAGTAGAAACAGCTGATAAGAGTTTTACGCCCATGTACATCCATCAAGTCAACACTTGCAGCTTAAGGTTAAGCTGCAAGGTTAAAATTAAGCTTGAAAAAACATTCCCTTCTCGGGTACCAAGGACCAGTTTGGCTACTTTTTAAATAATTTTCAATGTCCAAAAAATCAGTTTGAAAGACTTTCATGAAGCTGGGAGAACACTTCAAAAAAAATTGCATTAGGTAAAAGTCTGGCCTCTCATGCAAAATAAAGAGATGATTTCCAGAAACAACCTTCACATCTGAATGGAATGGATTGCGACAAAAAAATTGGCCCTAGCATTAAAAGTTACACTTTAGCTGTTAGCAGTGGCTCATGGATAAAGTAGCCATTCATTTCACTTTTCTTACCACATTAATCTAATCTTCCATCACTTCTTCCTCACTCCTCCACAGCTGGTGCTAGCAGCATCATCCTGTGACTGTGAGGCCCAGTTACTAGTTGCTGGTACCACTTATATTCTTTTTATTGTTTTCTTTCAGCTTTTCAGCTCCACCTGTTTGCCAATTCTTCCACACTAAACTTGCACAGCGAAGGCTGTGTCAGGTGGAATGATTGAATGGGATGCTGTCAGTGTGCAGTGGACCAGAAAAATGTCCAATATGCCAGATTATCAGTCCTGCCCTGTCTGTAAATGTGTAGTTTTGGAAAAAATATAAATAGATTTGAACTTTTCCTTCATGCCCCATTAAACAGTGTCTATAAAACATTAAACAGTCCCGTATGAAACAGTGTCTACCTCTGTGTGGTCAGCAGACTTCACTTCAGTACTGTGATGCTGATGACTGTATTCTATGTGGTCTCCATTGTGGTGCTTTCCACATTGATGACCATGATGGTGTCCACGGTGATGCTCATAATGAACTACCCTGACTGGAACTGTTATTTTCTGACCTTGAGAGTCCCATGAGTGGATGAAGAAATTCTGGTGTCCATTATAAAGAACAACTTCTCTGTTTACCTGGAAAGTAAAAAAACAAAAGTTTTATTAGTGCATCCACTACACTTCAATTCATTAGAAATGAGTTTCTACATTTCATTAGAACAATTATACAAACTTTCCTGTGATTTTTACAGTAATTCCAACTTTGCCGTCAAGTTAACTCACCATTAATACACCATCTGCCTTTACACCAAAGCGATTGTCATCAGTGCCGAAAAGAAATATTGTGCGGTTTGTGCAGTCAGTGAAGCCCACTGAGAAAGGATAGAAAAAAGTGAATCATTATAAATGTGGAACATGTAATGAAATAACTGGCAAGTCTACACCACCTTGCTGCATATGTCCTGCTGGTAGTGTTGCTGTATTTTTTAGTGTTTTCCAACAGAATACTCACTGGGGCTGGGCCATATCATATCGTTCACGGTAATACCGATATAATGTTGGGCAATGACAAGAAAATGAAGTATCGCAATAGAATTTGGGTAAAACGCGCATGCGCTGTGCCTTTGTTTTCATACGCACATGGCGAAAAAGGCACGGCGGCGACAGAGAATGAGAAGGGCGAAAGCGGATCGTTGAATGAAACAGATGAACCAGAATTGGTTTGTAAAAATGTGAAAACTTCAGTGTGGAACTGGTTTAGCCGTCAGATACACAACAAAGCACTATTTTTGGTAGCGCATGCTAGCGGGCCGTCGTTATTACCGTGTTTTTTGGAAAATACGGCACACTTAAAATCAATCCTTTGATTTTTCTGAAAATCGACAGTGCCCCATATAATCCCGTGTGCCTTATGTATGAATTCTGGTTGTGTTTACTGACTGATGCTTTAGTACGACTTTGCTAAGCTTCAAACCCGCAACACTTGATGGATTGTCGGAGCATTACGTTTATCGTAGGGAGGAGCCTCGCGGAGTGATACGTACTGTGCTTAACATTACCGTATATTGTGTGTATAAGCTCTTTTTAAGTTTTGTGGATATTATACATGGTTATGCTGAGGATATGTCAGCCAGTTTCCACTGGAAATGCCTTTTGGTTAAACTGTCAGCAAGGATTTTGCATTTGCACTGTTAAATTTTTATATAGCTTTAATGCAAAAAACAGCTGCTTGTTTAAGTGAAAATACATTGATGTTTTTTTTTTGCACTAAGAAAGTTGTGGAGTTGTAAAGTATTTTGTCTAGTGTCAATTATATCGTCAGTTATATCGTTATCGCAAATTTTCAAATGTATATCGTGATAAATATTTTTGTGGTTTCCACCTGAGGCAGGAAATTTCTTTTTTATTTTGCTAAGTACTGAATTTTGCTGGAGGCTGCTCTTTGTTTCTTAACCAGTTTTACCCATGATTCCACTGGATAATGGGTAGAACTGGATTAGAAATACTTCTTATTAATGAGCAACAGTACATTTTCAAGAGACAAGGGAAAAAAGAGAAAAATGTTTGTTGTTCGTGTGCATGTGTTCTTGTGTGTGTGTCTACATGCACTAGTAAATGAGTGCATACGTTGCACATGTGGCGGCTAAAATGAAGCAAAGTGAGCATAAACATTCTCAGAACTGAGTCTTGTCCTGCACATTGAAGTTTCCTGGAGCTGGAAATAGATGCTCTGATAATGTAGATTAATTAATGTTAAAAACTAATCTTAATAATTCAGTGTCCAGTTTAACGGCCTCAGGTCAGTAGCACAGAGTTTACACTGGCCCCTGTACATTTTTTGCAGGCAAAAAAGCTTTTATTTCTATGATTTGAAATAGTAACATTTAATACAAACGATTTATCTTTTGTATTATCCTAAATTGGCAATATTTTGTTACTAAAGCCTAAAAATCTATTATAATAAAACAATAAATTCTAGTAAACCTGATGCCTCTCTTTACACCCACCCCTCCACGGCACAGGTAGCACTGTGATAGAAAGCCACAGCTGCTGTGCAACTGAAACACTATGTGGGTCTTATCTGTTCATCTATAATCACATCCTACAGGTGTGATTATAGTACAATACTATAATGTAGATTTTTTGCTGTGTAAAACAAACAGTGGTGAATTGGGGGAGCTGAAAAGTAAACTCTTCTTCACAGCTTGTTAAGCAGGTGGTTTGACGAAGGAATCCTGCTATATTTTTCCCAGCAAAGATCAGTATGTCATTTACTGTAACAAGTACTGCGAGACTCTTAAACTCGTATCTAAAACTCTTTTAGATACGAGAAAAACAGTTTCTTTCACTCCACCTGACATCACTGTCTCACTAACTGCTCTTCCTCTTTATTCTTTGTGTGTTTAAATGTAACGAAATGTTTACATGTAAGGAATTTAATTGTGTGAATGACAATGAATACCTGCATCTGTGAAATTAAATTGTTTGCTCGACATTATGTTGTATGTCGCGCAAGACTTTTGATATGAATATTATTTCAGTGTTCCTCGCCTCACCCCCCACCCGGTGATGGCAGATGCTTTCCTCTGAGCCTGGTTCTGTTTGATGTTACTTCCTTTTAAAAGGCAGTTTTTCATCCCCACTTGAATTGAAGTGCCAAAATGTATTCATAGTTTTCTTTCTCTCGGTTTTCACCTTAGTGACTTTTGTTGTGATTTGGCACTATATAAAAGCAACTAAAGGCAAATAAAGCAAGGCAACAAGTGAATATTCATGTTAAAGCCTGCATAACTACAGTTAATTTGAAAAAGGCTACAGTCCACTTATGTTTTATATCATCTTTCAGTTTTATGAAACCAACAGCGTTCTCCTTCTCTTTCAGTGCTTCATAACATCTGAATAGCAAAACCTGCTAAACAGGCTTGGTGACATTGCTCTGACCTGAGGTTAAAAGTATTTGTGAGCAGTGTGAGAGCTGAATCTGCATTCCAGAAACCTTACAACTCAGATGCAGTTGGATGCCACAACTAGTTAAGCTGGAAAAGCACCAAAAAACAGACGTGTTTTACTTCAAAGCAAGGTAGAGCTATTAATACATTGCAAGCAATACAGCATCATAGTTGTTGTTTTTTGTTTGTTTTTTTGGGGTTGGGGGGGTTAATATGGGTGTCTGGACACAGCCTTGTCAGTGCCTTACATATGCTTTATTTAGTGATCACAAACAACAGTTTGTGGCAGAACAGATTAAAAATTATAGTATTGTTACCTTCATTGCTGCCATCTTGGACTGACAACAATTAAATGGAGGATGCTGCTAATTTCCAAGATGAAACTTGGAGTTGAGGTCCAGATGAAAATTCTGATCGGGAACTCGAATATTCTGACAAACTTAATCTGGAACAAATGGTATGATGTTGTTTGGGTTTCAACCGAGAACAACGTAAGCAGCTAACCTGTTAAAGGCCATCTGGGCATGAGGAATCCTTTACAAAAGTTTTTTCATGTAGGGCTGTAACTCACGTCTAAATGCTCCCACAGGTTTGTATAAACAAATCCTCACATATCTATTATGATATTCTACTGGATGTTAAGAAACATGAACCATTTCATTCAGGTTACCAGTAAGACACTAGATTCCTGGGTTGTTCTTACCTCTGCCCAGTCTCATGCCCGTCCTCAGGTGTTCCCTGCACACTCTGAAAATCAACAGCTCTGACTCAAATCCAGGCACACATGTCGACCTCGCAGCTATTTCTGGTGATGAGACCTAGAAGAGGAGAAAGAGTATTTTGGTTGGACCTGTAATAATAAAGTGACTAATCATAAGCAAGAGAAAATAAGAGTAACTGAATAACACAAGACAATATAACAATAACTATAACTGGCATTTTAAACAACAATTAAAATACTTTTGTTGCATCGCATAATATGAATACTTTAAGACGTGTATATGCCATTTTTCAGAGGAAACAATAAAACTACAAAACACAACGTCATCAGTGGAATAATGGGAATCAACGTGGAGGGATATGGGGAAAAAAGCCTGCTATGCCTGTGAAACAGATTAATTAGTTTTTAAATCCTGCACAAGTTTTTTCTGCCCATTTAAAGAGTATCAGCAAGTGCTATGACTAATAAAAGTGTTCTTCTTACAATAAAAGTTTACTTGATGCATAAACACAACAAATGTGTCTGCCCCTCCGTGAGTCTGGATCTCCTGGAGGTTTCTTCCTGTTAAAAGGGAGTTTTTCCTTGCCACTGTCGCCAAGTACTTGCTCCTAGGTGGTTCTTAGATTGCTGGGGTTTTGAGGTGACTGTTGTTTTGACTTGGTGCTTTCCACATGAAAATGAATCTAATTTTATTTAATTGCAGCAGGTAATGTAACATTAACCATATTTATTTTAAGTAACTTTAAACAGAATGGAAAATGGCAGAAATTAATTATAACAAAAGGAAGACGTCTCACCTGAAAAACGATGACTAAAGCGCCAAAAACCGCGAACCAAGCGGTCCCCATCTCTCCAAATCCCCTCTTTAATATTCCTGTTCTTCCTGTCGCACCGTAATTGTAGCTTCAGTAACTGGGTGTGAGCTGGATGGAAGTAAGTTTAAGTACTTTCAGCAGATGATGTCAGGTTACAGGTGCGCAACACCCTGGTTCCGTCATGCGTAAAGAGACATAACATGGTAGTTTCTGTTTCTGTTCCTGAGTACTTCACACAAGGGCGTAGATTTGGCATGGACGGAAGGGACATGTCCCCACCAATATCCGGCAATTATTGAATTGTCCCCACCAATAATTTGATCTCTTTGAGTAAAGAAAAACAACCCGATAGAAAGAAAAAACAAAAAAACATCTGTCAGCGTCTCATTCACCCAGCGGTGCAGAAAGAGTTAAATTATGTTCTCTACTTGAGTCCTACGTCATGTGAGAAATATGGCCAATGTGATTGGCTGTGCTTTTCAGTGAGCTCTGTTTAGTTTTAGCAGCGGCAAGCCTGCGCTGCCAGGAGGAGAGGAGGATGGCAGCAAAAAGGAAGAACCTGGATATAAGAAAGTATTTTTCAAAGAAACCTGTAAGTCACTTAAACTCAAGTTCACTCATAAAATGTGTCCGTCATAATAATGTTACAGGCTATGCTAGGCTTTGGCCCACATTAGTCTAAAATTGTATGTACCCATTAATAACGTGTTTTGGAAACTAACTGCACAACAGGCAGCACTCCAAGAGCAGCATTTCTAATTTTGATTGAAACTGTCAGAGAAAACGTAGCCTCGAGCGAGCCAGGATATTAGTTTACAGAGGCTGTTAAAATTATATGTCTAAAGTCAAAATGTTGGTGACAATTTTATCCTAATGGCACTGACATATTCATAGGGTTAATTTTTGAGACAAAATATCATGAGGTAATCACGATTTTGCAAATATTCCACCTTGCAGTGCAGTTTGCACAAATTGTTGTAAAAATGCACTCACCCTACAAACATTACTGATGAGTCAAGATCTGCACAATTTGACAGAAACACTGAAGCAGCTGCACATTTTATTCTTATTGTCATGTATGCCCTATTTGTCAGGTGACAGAAGAACCAACACAAAGCTCAGAGAGTAATGGTGACACAAGATCACAGGTGGAATTGGATGATGACCTGTTGTTTCAATGACTGTATTTGAAGCACATGTGTGACTGCATGTATTTGAATGTCTCACTGTTATTTATCAGGTGACAGAGGCAGAGGTGGAGAGGCGAGGTCACTGACAACATAACTGAAGTAATGTTGTTAAGTCCTTGAACTCATGTTTATTGTCATGACTGTATTTCAGGGCTGGACTGGCCATCGGGCATACCGGGCATTTGCCCAGTGGGCCGCTCGTGATTTTTCGTTTTTATGGGCCGATGGGGTTTTCTTCCTTTTCTTTTTTTAACGGTATAAATGAACGGTGGTGGATTGGCCAGTTGGTCATGATCGACTCTGGCCTGGACCAATTACAGCCGAGGAGGTCAAACTTTAAAGTTAAGGTGAAAAGGAACGCGATTTGTCCCGTACTACTTCAGCTAGAAAGTTGCTAATTCAATCATGAAACTGATCAATGATCAGCTGATCGGCTTTTCTCTCTGCGCCAGAAAGATGAAACCAGCTGATGTCGCATTAAACAACAGCAGCACGTTTAAGCTTGATCAGCTGTTGTTAGCATTTATTTAATATTAATTTCTAGTATCAGCTGATGTTTGCTGGAGCCACAGCTGTAAACCTGCTGGTCAAGATGTCGGTTTGGATATGTGGTGAGAGGGAAACATGAAGATGAAACCAGGAGATGTTCTTACTGAATCATCAGAGCTGAACAGGTGATGGAGAAACAGGTTTACCTTTTAGGTGACATGAGTTGAAGAGAAGTTATGAACTGTTTCTGAGAAATAACACCAGGATCCTTTTCTAAGTAGCTGACAGCTGGTAACTGTGCAGGGGCGGGTCTAGCAAAGTTTTGCCAGGGGGCATGTAGGGCATTAACAGGGAGAGGGGGGCACAAAGAAATACTTTTCTTTCTTATTCTCATTTAAAATGTCTCGCTTTTAACAAATAATTACCTGAATCTTTCAACCAACATTTTCATCTGATGTAAAATGTATAGAAATCCATTATTGTATTCAGTAAATATTAAGTCTCGTTAGTATATACCCTAGTAAGTTATAGTATTCTTTACTTTGTTAAGGTACCTTCTGTGCAGTCTGCAATTCTGTTGAAGAAAGATGTTGAATCTATTTAATTACTGGAGAAAAATAATAGATTTATGTGCATTTGTTTTATACGCGCATTAAATTTAAATCGGTTTTGTTAGTTAAGCATCTTGAGGCAGAGGGTGGGGGAGTGGTTCCCTACTTTTTTTCTTTTTTTGCTGGGAGTTAGCAACCCTTTTAGTTATAGGTATATGTAATTATAAATGAGGTGTTACTGTTTAGAATACCAGAATAGGGAAGGTGGTGTAGGTTTAAGTTTAATTATAAAGGCTTCAAAGGATTTATGACTTTTCCTATAATACCATGGTGGGACCACTAGTCAAAATGCCGATATTTTGTCCCAGTCCAGCCCTGCTGAATATGAAGTTATTTTTATTTTTGTATGATACCTGATTTATATTGAATATGGCTGAAGTAAACCAAAGTCTAAAATACTTAGTCATTTGTTTAATTGTAATTTAGCATTATATAACTCACATATAAAACTATCAATTGTAATTTTAAATGGTTTAAAAGCATGTAGAATAGCATATGTAGGCAAGTACATTTCTCCTTTTGTTATCAAGAAGCAAAGACAAAAGGGAAAAAAAACTGAATCATTCGTCCCCACCAATGCCAAAACGAAATCTACGCCCTTGACTTCACAGATACACAGCAGATAGTAGGAGCTGGCAGCAGTATTACCAACAGTGCTCTGAGTCTGAGCTCAGCAAGCCACATTCTGCAGATACTGACATTTCGACAATGTGTCGAGCGCAGATGTTTGGAAACGCAGTTCAAAGCACACAGGTCACGTGACCACAAACTTTTGGTGCACTTCTGTTCTCTATGCAACAACAGGATTCCATTTTATACTTAAAATCAGGCACGTGCAGAGCGGGGTGGGGCGGGACGGGCTTGAGCACCCGTCCCTTCCCTGATGGGTGCCCACAGTGCCCTTTTGTTGAGGCAATTTCTTTTTTTTTCTTTTTCTTTTTTTTAAGTGTACGTGTGGGGTCCTGTCTGTGCCCCTCAACAATAATATTTAACTATTAATCACAGTTTTGCTAAATAAAAGGATCTGGCTTGCATCAGTCACATACGGTGGCCCCTAGAGACAAAGCACATACAAACTCCAAAACACAACGGAAGTGTCACGGTGAGTGAGATGAGCCGTGTGGAAGAAATAAAGGAGGATCCAAACGCAGGCACTTGCAAAGGTGTGAGGGTGGTTTATTAAACACAAAAATATAGATGGACAAATGGTAAACGGAGAACTAAACTATACTGGACAACTAAACTACTGAGCCTGAACAAGGACACGAACCTGAACATGAAGGAAGACGGAAGATGGTATATGACTGTGACAGCAGGGAGAACACACGAAAGGAACATGGTAGATACACAGACGGACCAGCAACTACAATGACAGAAGATACGACTTAAATACACACAGAGAAACACAGGGAGATTACAGGTGGTGGACACAGCTGGGAGTAATTAACGAGACGAGACAAGGCAGGTAAACTGAACACACTCACATGAGACGCAGATCACTACACAAAGACGCAGACTCGACATTGAGAGACAGACAGAAAATGACACATGGAACTAAACCCACACAAAACATGAGAACACAAATCCTAAACCGTTACATCTAACCGTACAAACAGTTCTGGGGGCCGACCGTGCACACGGCAACGGCGGTGGTGCAGACAAAACAAATCAGGAGGCCGGCCACTTGGAAGGCAGTGGTGGCCACTGAGCAGGTCCGGAGGACGACCGCGAAGCCAGCGGTGGCGAAAAGGAAAGCGGCCGGCAGAGGCGAGGCGGAATAGGATGAGCTGGGTCCAATGACGGTGTGGCAACCGCAGGACCAGACGAGGCAGGAGCAGACGAGGTTGATGAAGACACAGAGGCCGGACCAGGCGTGGATGAAGACACAGAGGCCGGACCAGGCGTGGATGAAGACACAGGTGTGGATGAGGCTAACGCTGCAATCAGAACTGGTGTCCATTTACCTGATCATCCTCTCTACTTTGCTCTCTGTTATAGTAGAAGATGTTGTCTTTAGATGTTAGCTCCTTCTGCTCCTCTTTCCTCAGACTGACAAACAGCACAACCAGGACCAGCACTGAACACAGAGCACAAAGTTTAGCACACAACAACCAACCAAATCCACTTAGCTGGGAAAGAAAACAGAGGCTACAAGTTATAAATCCATTCACAACTCACTGAGCAGCAGAATGCCTCCAAGTACTCCCCGAATAATGGGCAGGTTGCTGCCACCTAAAGCACGCTGAGTACACATCAAATCTTCTCCCTTGCAGTCGCACACTTCAGCTTTGATGATGTTGTCCTGCCCCAACCCATGCTTGTCTGCCACTGTCAGTATAACACTGTAATTTCCACTGGGCAGCTCAGTGGCTAAATTCAAGATGATGCCTTGTCCTAAAAAAACCCAAAACAGATATTCGCAGGAAATAATCTCAACACAAGTCATGAAATATATTACGTTTCTATTTCAAAATATTTCAAATTCTGGCCATGTGACTGGACAGCATCACTTTATACAGTTTACATACTGGTGTCGTTCATCCTAGCGGTCCAGTTGGTCTTTGACATGCCCTGTAAAGACACCGAGTAGGGAGCTCCAAATTCTGGTCCGTCTTTATCTGTTACTGAGAGCAGCTGAGGAGCTGGATCCTTGTTGCACACCTGAGGAAACACAAAGCCTTTATGCTAATATTCTGTATCACATGACTGCATAAATAGGGCTTGGTTAAACTTTTTAATTGATCGCATCTTGAAGTCGGTAGATTCAATAAATACACCC